AATTTAGGTACTCAAAGCTATAAAAATCAAACAATTTTCGTAAAAATTCTCATTTAATTTGAATGATCATATACCACTTAGAGATAAAGTTTCTACCTTTATCACAATTTACATGAACACAATTTAAGAATATTTGGATGATTTACTGAGTTTGATGGGTATGATCTCTAAGAATGCCTGAATTGTTATGATTCTAGAACTACACAATGTTTTCATAACTCAGATTTGTTATAATATAACGAATTAATTCAGTGTCTCGAAGTTTGAAATTAAAAGAAAAATAGATATAATTTTAGAAAGTTTCTCTATCACGAGTCTATTAACAATTTTCAGTAGAGTAAGTAACGCAATAACCATTAAAGAATTATTAATTTTATAATCAATACAAGATGATACGTTTACTTTTAGTGAAGTATTTACAGTAGAATTACTTGCGTCTTTCACAATAAAATAATATCATATATTCTACATATATATGTATGTCAATTCCTTAATGTTCTAGAATAGATATTTTAAGTCGCAGTGTACTATCCCTTTTACTAATAATAATGTGCTAGAATAGTCTCAAATTGAATATCTACAGGTAACACTACCCTTTATAGAGCAAAATAATGCAGCTGTCATAGTTATTTGGTGCTAACCAAAAAGGAAGACTCGTTTGAGTAAAGCCCATAATATTCTTCGAAACAGAGCTTCTACCTGCCAATATTAGCATCCATATATATCAAGGTCACATATGGGAAGAGAAACTCTAACATTTAGACTTTTAAATAAATCCCTGATTAGCTATGCTTTGTAGTGTAATCCTTATCCATTATTTGAATAATTCCTATATAATGTTTCTTTTATCTAATTTAACTTAAACCTTAAAATCAAACTTGATTCTATTATTAAGAAAACTGAATTTTTGGCTATGTTAGGAGTCTTAAATTTTGTTTAAAGGAAGTATTTTTATTAATACCTTGAAGTCTTTGAACATTAGATGCTGGAGTAACTTGTATATACTTGAATTCAAATATTTGAATCAAAGACATGGTATGTTCCAACTGTCTTAAGTTAAATTTTTTTTTTGTTTGGGTCTATAAAAATTCAAATGTTCAAACGTCAATTGATCTTCGAACATTTTCAAGTGGGTTGCAGTGTTGTAGCAACATGCTCGAACATCAATATGGTTGAAGCTTCACACAATTCGTATAATATTTGATGTCCTAATTTATATATCTATAAATGCAAATCTGAGCAAATTTTATGGTACACATTTATGTACAACTAAATTACATACATATCAAAAAATTCAATAGAATTTCATTTTACTACACTATCCCAAGCTGTAAAATTTCACATTTTACGCCACTTTAACCTTGTGATATTCCATAAACCAATACAAACTATAATATTCGCACATAAATCTGAAAATTACATATCTACATGTGCATAATTGAATTTATACGTTAATCCCTTTTATGATGCCAACAGTGTGCATGACACACTATCATCGTAAAATGCATAAATGGATGCAAATATCACTAGGTAGCTGCTTAGCTACCTATGTGCTTAGGTTTAATATGAAATTTTCCACAACTGCTTGGCGTTGAAATACTGACAAGCAAATGCAATATTACAGAAAAAATTAAAAAATATAGTAAAAGAATTTTTTTTTCTTTTTTCAGTGAAGGTGACATTCAAAATTAAATGAAAAACACTTTGATAGGTATTAGTCGAGCGATGATATCATGTCTAACCAATATCAGAAAATCACATACATATAAATCAGATATAAATATCGAACAAGTGTAGGTACTACAATTTCAAAGAAGTAAATGAATTATAAATTACTTTAACTTGAGTTCAGTTCACTTTGTTTTATTTTATTTATTATGGTTTTTATATACTCGTAGATACTCGTACATGTTAACAGGTTCTATGCAAACAAACTTATCTCAAATTAAAAATCGTTATTAAATACTCAATCAAAGGCAGCAATTTTTTAAGCAGAATTTGCTGTTTTACAACCATTCAAAAATGTTAGATAAAGTATTTTAATTTTTTCAACTTGCTTACTAAGCTGATAGTAAGCATTTTACTGAAGTAACAACAGTAATGTTTAGTGTTTGTTAGAAATTTGATTAGACAGTCGACTTATATTCTAAAATCTAATTATACTGATATAATATAATATGATTACTTTATTTAAAAATATATGTTGTCAAAAGGTATTAGAAACTTATATTAAGAAGTTCAAGGCAAGGTAATATTAGAAAGATGAGCAGTGTTTCTATGTATTCTAAAAAGAAATTTTAAACGACTTGTCTAAAATTTTTAGTTTTTAATTTTTAATATTAGTAACACTATATTTTTTGCTAAAATAATTTTTTAAAAAATATAATATTTTCTATATATCTTCTTTTGATAGTACAGCGCTAGCAGTATAACTAGCAGGCAGGTCTTTTATATTCAGTATAACAGATACTTAAAAGAGTTTAATAAACTATATAATACTTACATAAGGCAAAGGACATAGAAGTTCAGTTTCTTATTCATAGTTTACTTTAAAATTAATTAAATCACATTAAATAATACTTAATTAATTTTCGTACTAGTAGTCTATGATACTGTTGAGAGTAACTAAAAACGTAAAATAATGGTAAAAGTTTATTTTCAGTTATATCTAATTCTTTGATATCTATTCTAAGTACACAATATAAGTATATTAATAATAATTTGTATGTTATTAAGCATTAAAAAAATCAAAATTCTAGACATACATATATAAGTTAATATATATATATTAATTTATATTAATAACTATCAATATTATAATTAAGATTTTTTTAAAATCTATACAAGTTTTTGGTTTCTATACTAAATCATACAACATATTATTACTAATTTACATATTACATTTATAACATATAAACATTTTAAGTAGAACTCAAATATCTCGGTATATATAACCTATAATTATGAACACTGACAAGATTTCAAGTATCTAAACGTCATTATTTATTATAGCCGTTATTCAATTCACTAGTGGGAGTTATTCATCGATTATTATACACGTCTTTAGTAATATAAGTCGAAACTTTTATCAAGTGAAAAAAAATTGAAATATATAAAATGGTTTAATTCTTAAGAACACCTAAGTTCAAGGCTCAAGATTTAAGAGGACAAACAATCTTAGATAGAAAATTATTTAACAAAATTAATGGTTTCTTAAATCTCGATGTAGATAATTTTAAACTCCTATACTGCGCCGAAATGGAACAGCTGTCCAACAATGCACATATAAGGCCTGCTACAGTACAACCTTTAAGATATCTTGGCTAAGTTATCTAAAAATCGAATGAGAACACACTTGAAATCGATCCTTGAAACAGAAGAAAACGAAAATGTCTGAAGTGCAATTTAAAGGTATAGGAATCTATGGTTCAGTGTAGTAGAAGCAGACCTTAGGATTATGGAAATCAAAATTCACAAAATTTGGTATTGGACTAACACTGTGAAGCAGACTGTGACCTAAAGATATATCTAAACTGTCATGAAAGATATTCAAATGTATAAATAGTTCAACGAATATAATTAACATTATATTAACATTATAACATTATAATTAACATTATATGTAATAATTGAAGAAGTAGCTCAAAGCTTATGTTTATTAAAACCTGTCTACTATAAAGCGTTGATGGTACTAAAACCGGAACTGTTAGTAGAATGATAAAACTGTATTTTGACATTTATGCATATATGTAAGTTAAATATATATTCTGTAAATTAAAATTTTTTGAATAATATCAATGAGTAAGTCATTAGAGAATTTAATTTCGTTATATTATATTATAATAATAATAACATATATTATTATATTATTAGTAACAAAATATTATATTTTTTAGTTACCAATTTCTACTTTATTTTACCATTATATGTACATATAAATGATAATTTATTAAAAAATTTTTTCAAGGTGTGACATATTAATTTTCTTGAGTGTAAGTATTTGTTGTTTCATCACAATTGTAATATATATTTTGGCCTAAAAATAATGCGTTGACTGTGCCAATAAGACCTGCAAAGCTATTTAAGTTCTTATCTTATCGGTACAAAATGAAATCGTTTGTATGTTTGTAGGTTTAGTTTTTACAATAAGCTTCATACTAACGGTTAGGCAAGTTGACAGGTAAATATGAGTTACTTTCCTGAATCAATAGATAAGATAATGCTTAATAAATGTGTGCACATAAATACGCCAATTAAATATGACTAAGACAACAAAGTCAATAAAAGAATAATTTAGAAAAAAAAATTCATACTAAATAAATATTAAAATATTTCTTGGTATATGCAATTTTACAGGTGTATTGGAAGTATTCAAAAAATGTGTCATTAATTATATAATGAACTAAAAAATATATATAATTTGCTGTCTATACATATAAAATAAAATTTATTATTAACTTAAATTATGTCACACCTAAACAGCAAATAATAATAAATACATTATAATGGTATTAATGGTATGTGTCTCCCTGAAGTACTAAGCCTATGGTTCAGTTATACATAATTTCAATAATATAAATTAATTTATGTAGCATATTCTGTACTTACACCAATTGTAACCGTTATCATTGTAGACGTCATAACCCAATTCTCCCATGTAATCATCGAAGTTTAACATTTTAAGTGCACCGGAACGTTGCTCAAATGTTTGAGACTTTGTGATATTTTTGTAACTTTGCACTAAAAGGTTACTGGCTTTGGCCAAGATTGGCTTAACATTAGCGTTCACTTTGGGTGCAACGGGATTTACTTGTACATTAGCTTTAGCAGTCGATGGCTGCTTCACAATATTCACTTTTTCACTGTTCACTGGCACCACGGGCGCAATTTCCACAAATTCAGCGGCACTTGAGATTTTTTTATTGACATTGTTACTTGAATTTATTAATATAGCATCATTTTCTTGTTCCAAAGATATATTTTCATTTGCTATTACATAGGCTATGAAGCCACATGCCAGTAAACTGGCTAAAAATAATTTAAAACGCATCGTCTAATCGTTTTCTATTCGAATTTTCGTTAAAAATTTTGTTCGTTTTGTGTTGTAACGCTAATATTTTACTAAAAATGCAAGAAATAATAATTTAAATACACATATTAATTTTATATTTATTGAAAAATGTAGTAATTTTCACATTATGACATCATTGTTCTATTAATTTGGCTAATCTTATCAGCCAAATGTTTTTATCACAAAAATTTTAATTTAAAATTCTCTGGTCTTTACCACTTTGGGAAAAATGCGTCCAACACGGCTCTACGGAAAAAATGTTACTAAAGTCGGGGCGTTGGTTGAATTTTTCATTTGGCTCATTTTTCACCTGCTATTGTGAAACTTTATGCTACTTTATCTCAAAAATGTTAACTATCTTATCATTATAAGACTTTTTTTTATAATTGATAAAAAAAATTGTACAGCAAAAAAAGCGGTTTTAGGGCTAAAATATATTTATCGCATAAAAAAGTTAAGAAATATTTTGAAAACAAAGCAATTTTTTTCAATTTAATTCTATACAATTTGTATATATATTCAATGTGATTCACTTAATCATTTGTAGTTGTATCAATTGAGATATATGACGAGATATGAAAACCGTGTTATCACCGGTACATTTGTATTGAATGTTGTATGAATAATGCGACATTCCTAGAACAAATTTCTTTTAATCGTTGTAATTTTTACATCCGCTATTTATTTATAAAACATTAAAGTCATAGTAGTATGAGAATGTGATAAAAACGCAATCATTAGATACTTCATTTCGCAGGATAGTGAAATCCAAAAAAAATAAACAATAATAAAGAAAGAAATTAAATACTAACAAAGCCATTCACTAACCAAAAAAATGTATAGTATAGAATATTTCCAAAAAAAACGAAATGATCTTTTATACTTAAATATTATAAAGAATTTGGAACTCTGATATATTGTGCGAACTTACAGTATTGCAGATTAAACTATAATCAAACTACTTCAATGAAAATACACTCCGAAAAACATAAGTGAACGTACAATTTTTGAATTCCAAATTGAACTGCTTAGACTCAAATATGCTCTTTACGAAAGTCACGGAAGACATCTATCGTTTCATTGCAATCTGTGCAGTTTTAAAGGAAATAAGACTAATGTCTTGCTTTTACTAAGTCATTTTGAATGACAATTATAATTGACTGGTGTGTCGAATGCGTTTTCTTTACATGACAAGAATGCGAATATGATATCATATGACTACATATGACAATATTTGACATTGAAAATGACATAATGATAACGAAGCTTATTGTACTTATTGTAAAAGAAGTGAATCGCAAATAGACTTAAAACTGCAAGCCGCTGGTCCAGAACACTCTCATATCAAGAAAAGCTTACTGGGCTCTGGATAGAGTAGTCGCTGCTAACAGGATAAAAACTTCACACTGAAAACTTCAAACTAAATGACAAAGTTGGCAGTAAAATATTTCTAATACTTAGAAAATAGTTAATCTTAGTATCTCACTTTAACTGCCGTATCTTCTGATATTCATTAGTATTGTCCCTCTCTCTTGTTTAAGAATTTTGGGCTTCTCTTATGAGTTGCTCAGTTTCGCTTTCTGAATGTTGCAAGCATCTTGAATAGGAAACTGCACTGAAAACTCTAATGTCCGATAGAGTTGTTTTTCTTGTACTTCCAGAATACCAAGCTTCTCCCAATATGTTTTATAGGCTTCTGTATTCTGTATACTCATATGGGTACCTAGATACAAATATATATCGGATAACTATAAATCGAGCGAACTTGCCAAAGCAGCTAATTTTTTTCCTTTAAATTGTTATTTCTCTTGCAGTAGCTAAACTGACAATTAAATATAAATACCTGGTCACTGCATATTAAGGACTGCAATAAGACTGACTTAAACATCTAACGGCTTTTATTGGGGTGGTGGTTCTGTGGATAAGAAGAAAACTGTGATTCATTATTCATGCATCAAATTCAAAATCGTTTAGCCCATTTTTTAACTGATCTGATATAGCTTTTATTCTTTCAAGTTACGGATATAGTCAAGTTTATAGAGTTAACAGATTCCATTCTACTAGATTGGGAACTCACATCTTCTCATATGGAAGCTGTTTGTGGACTAGATGTAAGGAAGTTTCATCTTTTGAGTGGTGCTTCAAGTTTGACGTAACTGACAGTATTCATCCCTAATATAAAAACTGATTAATATATGTGCTTAAATGAGATTTACTGTACAAGGCTGTCACTTCAACCTAACATAACCTATGACTGAGAATACTATAAAAACTAAAAGTTATTATTAAAATTTTTGATAAAAGGGACGTTGAAATGTTTGTTCTTGTTATGTTAAGAAATAAACATAACAAAAAAAGGTAAAGTTTAAGAAATCAAAGTCACGAAATCGACAAAATATACCTAAACACCTGTTTTCTAATCTCCTGATAACTTAGTATTGTCCATATAAGGTTGCTTTTTCTATTGAGTTACAAATCTGCATCTACACAGTTGTAGCACTTTGATATGATCTAAAATGATATGAATTTATATATTTATAATATATTTATTAAGAAATATATTAAACTAAATATATAGTATACATACTATATTTATTTTTAGTAAAAATAATTATGTGTTTTGTTTAATAATATTAATACTTATATTTTAAATATTTAAATAAGCACAACGGCGGTATTTACGTCACGGTGCGCAGGGAATATTTTAATAATAGAAAAAACAGAAAAGCATAGCATACCATGGTTCTACGTCTTCATGTGCCAGAAGGAATACGATTTCAACGACTCCAAGAATAACTATTGCTTCTCTTCCAACAGAATTCCTAGTCGAATGACAATGACTGAATAACGTAAATTTATTTTTATTTTTATTTGGTGTATGTAAATTTTACAATATATTTAGTACTAACATATTGTATATTTTTATTTGAACTATTTATTAGAACTAATAACTAATTAGAACTAATTTTATTAGAACTAATAAAGTATAAACAAAAAAAACAACGACGACAACGAAACCGTTCGTTACAACTTCAACCGATAATAAAGGAATCACTGGTATCACAGAACAATTAGACTTCACTCATAAGTCTAAAATGATGTGTCATTTGTATCTACCAAACTCAGTCTAAGGAAATTGAGATCTAAATTTATTGAAATAAGTATTAATAAATTTTTATCAATACATGCTTTTAAGTGATTACTGTAAATACACTATATTAATTTTCCTAATATAAACTTTATGTTGACTTTATAGTAAACTAACTCATTCAGATGGTATAGCTTCAAGCAATATTTCTTAAAAAGTTTATGTTTAAAATATCTTTGAATTTTTATATATAATATTTATAAAGAGGCTTTTCGAAGAGTAGTGAACTACAACAACAAAAATTTATTTTATATTATTTTATTTAATTGAATTTTTTAATTGACCATACAACTGCTTCGAGTATTCCCAAATACCTACCATCAGCGGTCTTGGAGACAATTCTTGTATTTAATTAATCGTAAATAATTTTTTGGAGATTGCAAGCACTATAGGAATCGAGCTTGTGCCCTGCCAAATTTGAAGTTCAGAGTCAGCGCTAACTGATCCAAAGTCAGCGCTAACTGACCCAAAGCCGTACTTGACTTTTTATGTTTAGACATTTTGCTGGAGTTTTGTTAATTGGTTGGGAAAGTTTTATTAACAAATTCACTATGTTTATATTAGAACGAAATCACACACCAGCTGTAGAATAATTGAATTAATTAATTATATTTTTATTTTTAATTGTAAAATTTCAATACTGTTCTGTTCGTAGAGGTCTTATTTATTTTATAGATATTTTTATTTTACTGCTCAAATAAAAATCGCCTAAAATTTTATTATAAACAAAATCTTTGATTTACTAATAGTATTTCTCATAGTATATTTTTGGGTCTATCTGATAAATAAGTGAATGAATAAAAATAAAGAGCACAATCTTCTTGTTTTTGAAAGAGTTTTTATGTGGCTTAACAATTCAGAGCAGAAATAATTCCATAATAAAAGATAGAGAATTCATGCACTTAATTTTAGAAAGAATTTTTTAATACAAATATCAAATATGAGAAGATATTACGAAGCCGCTATAATGATAATGTTCGCTTATGGGGGGCTACAGTATTGTTTCGGCCGTGCTCCCGTTAAGTTTGTTTCGCATATAAGACGCAATAGCCCGTTAATAATATATCTAATATTTAGATTTTAATCAGTTTTTTATTTATTAGATTATCAGAAATAAATATGTTGTTCCATCAATTAAAAAATCCCCACAGCAACGCGATTTTACGTCATTTTCGGCGATGTTATCATAGTAAAAAAGGCGTGTACGGTTATCGACCTTTGCCAAAGCGCGAGTTTAGAGGTAAATTGCAAAGCAGAAAAAATATATTTCGATCAATTAAATTATAAAAAATGTGTAAAATAAATATTAAATTATTAAATTCTACATAAAAAGTTTAAGTTTTGATACTAAAACTTTGCAGATAAATGAAATCTTTTTCTACTGATAAGTGCAAATAATCTGAGAAAAAAACAAGAAGAAACAATAATAAAAGTTCTAATGCTGTTGTTCTGTGATAAGCAAACTTAATCAGTTTTCGTACGCTTTCGATTGTTTTTAGTTTTGTTTTGTTTTGATTTTCTCCACAGATACATAACAACAACAATAATACCGGATAAACAATCGTATGTTATGTTATGTTCACTCTCCACTCTCCCAACTCAATCAAAATATTTTGCAAATCTACAAAATTGTGTCTATGTGATTCGTTGTTTTTGTTTTTATTACTTTTTTCGCAATTTTTATAATTAATGAAAAAAAAATTAAAAGAATTAAATTATTTATTAATTTATTTTGTTAATTGTTTTAAGAAAAAAAATCTTGTAGCAAAAATAATAAATAATTGTTTTCGCTGATATTTATTTAAATAATTTTTGTCTTAAAATTAATAAATTAAATTAACAAAAAATCTAACAATGACAATTTAACCTAAAGCTTTTAATACAAATAAAGTAATCTATTATTATTATAGTAAGGAGATGTGGCACTGCGACCGTCGGGTCTATTGTGCCACCTTCTGGGTTAAGAATAGGTCTCTAAACACTGTTGCGTCAATTAAAAGTAGTATAGAATCTACTTTACAGAGTTTTATTGCCTCTTCCGTAAAAATATACACTCCCAGGAGCCTATTTCGTATGTGAATTAGCGCAGGGTATCCTAACAG